TATATAATTTTAAAAATAATAATAAATCAACATATTGATAATATTATCAATATCAATTTATCAATAATATTATTAATACTAATAATATATAATATATATAATATCTGTATCAAACATAATATATATATATATATATATTATTTTTATTCAATAATAATAAATATAAGTGCAATTTTAGTTTCTATTTTAAGTATATATGTTATAATTTTCATTAGTATGCTAAAAAAAATTCATCAAGTTAGAAGTTAAATGCTAATCCTTATATATAAGAAAAAAAAATTTAAACTTAAATATAAGTAAGTTCTAACTAATTTGACCTTATTTAATGTTATTATTTAAAAAATATTTCTAATATTAAATGTGATTACTCTTTTCAATAAATATTATTAGGGGTAGTTTAGAAAGTAAAATTTAACTTTTATATGAAATTAATAAAATTAAATGAATTAAAATTTTTAAATATATGTGAATTTAGATAATTTTTCTTATATATGAGTTCAGAAGAAGTAATTTTGAAAGTTACAGTATAAGGTTCAATTATCATCTTTTACACAAAAAAATAAAATTACATAGTTATAATATTTGGAAAGATCTAATTTGTTCAATTTAAACTTAAAAGACAAATCCGCATAATTATCATACTTGAGAGGCAAAAATATAATTAATTAACTCAAAATAATAATATTATTTGTAAATATATTGGATCGATCCACCACTATCCATGCACATTACTATAAACTGCATATCTTGACATATATCGAATTTATTAGGTCACCAAAACTGGTAATGTTACTACCCATATATAATTAGTAAAAAAGATCAATTTTATTTAAATTAAGAAATTTAATTAAATATATTTAATTTTTATGATTTTACATAAAAATATATTATATATTTTTAAAAATATCTTTAATCACGTTCATTATAAATAATGTATTTATTTATTTTTTTAGAGTTATTTTTGGATTAAATTTTTTAAATGAAATTAACTTATTGAAATTTATTTATATTTTGACTAAAAAATTTAAATTTTTTTATTTATATATAAAGGTTCAGAGAGAGTACAGAGTTAACATATTTTGTAATCAATTTTAACATTTATTTTAACCATTAGGTTGGTTTAATGATGAAATTGAAATAATATATATGTATAAAGTTTTAATTTCGTACTTGTTGATATCTAATTTTTTCAAATAATAAAAAAATCAACTTTATTTTAAAATAATATATATATCCATAACTTGGAAAGGTTGTGAGGTCACACCATTGTGGTCCTAACATTATAACACCTCATTCAAAGTTGAAACAAAGGTTTAATAAGGGTAATTTAAAAAGTAACCATTTCTTCTAAAATCAACAAGGTAAGTCACAAGGTAGAAAATTTGCAACTGAAAATACAGACTGACTTAATTTCTCATTACCCAAAAGACAAGTCAGATAATGAAGAATTATGATTAGGTTAGGACGAAGCCTATGCAAAGACGTTATAAGACATGCATGGTAAAATTTTGCAATAAAAAGTTAAATAATAAATTATACTCACTAAATGAAATTTAATGATACCATTATACTAATTTATTTTTTTGACTAGACTTAACTTATACAGTATTGTTTTCTCGGTAAAGCTTAATTCATACATTATCATATAAAAAGCAAATAAATAAGTTATATCATGGGAAATACACAATATTAAGATGTTATATAAATTAAAATAAATATGTATAAAATCAACAGAAATATAATTAGGAGCTATCAATTAAATATATTATTATTATTATTATTATTATTAAACCGCAAAAGACTGAGATGTAAATACAGTGCATGTTTGGATTTAGCTAGATTGAATTATTCAAAATCATATTACAAATATTTATATGTTTATTCGCATTTTAAAAAATATTTTTAGTTAAAAATAACTTTATTTAACTTTTGTCTTAAAGAAAATGTTAGAGAAAGTAACTTTATTTAACATTTTAAGAAATTGATTCTAATTTTAAAATTGATTTTGAGTTAGGTAATTTTTGCCTTGGATCTAAAATTTTATATTGACTTTACTACTAACTTGTTTTTCGAATGAGAACATCCAAACTTAGTGCGTGTTTGTTTTCACGTTTTAAATGTGAAAAATCACGTTTAATGTAAAAAATCACGTTTAACGTGGAAGCTACAACGTATAACTTCACGTTAAACGTGATTTTTTATGTTTAAAACGTAAAAGCAAACACACTGGTAAAAAAATTGATTCTTATCAAAATTATTTTTGTATAATCAATTTTACATAAAATTAATTCTAAAAGCTCTCACTCAAACGTACAAGATTTATGTTAAATTGATTTTAATGTGTCATGTTTTATATTAAAAGCAAAGTAGTAGCAAATACAGTTATACCTTTTTTTACTCTAACTAATTAATGCAAAAATTACTTTAAGTTATATCTATTCAAAACACTACAAAAAAAAATACCTTGTAATAACACATATTTTATAATGATACAATATTTGTTACTAAAAATTATTTTTATCTATATTATAAATATAATATATGTTAACATATTATTAAAAAATATAGGTATAAGATAATACACAATATATATTATTAAATCTCATTTAAAATCAATACGAAGATTATATGTAATAATAAGTCAAATAGATTTATATATGCTTACATATATTATATTTATACAAATTTTTGTATGTCATTTAATGTAATATTTTTTATAGTGTAACCAATTACAAACTCAAGAATGACTCCCTTAATTAACATGAAATCAAACATGTATAATTATGTTTATCTAAAATTATATTTCAATGTAATTATAAAAAATTCCAAGTAAAACCAAACATGCATCAATTTCATTCTAAATTAGTTATATTAACTTTGCCTCAAACTCAAAGACACACTAATTTGTCCAAAATTCAAATAATGCAAGAGAGTTTGGGTGAGTGAGACATTGAAAACTAAAAAAATGGAGATTCTAGGAGGATAAAATGCCAAAACTCAAAATCCAAGAAACCACCCTGCAGCTATGCCTCAAAATTTCAAGCTTTCCAATTTTTTGCGTGCAAACTTACACATTCACGTCCCTTTCATTGGAATTGAATCTAACCACACATTCACAAAGTCACTTTCAAAAAGACACTTTCATTGTCCCCCTTCGCCTTTTCCCCATACATGAACAAATGAACGGTTAAGCATGAAAGTTGACAAGCGAATGAGATGAGGTGATGAATCCCAAACTCTTTTTTTCTTTCTTTTATTTAGTTATTTTCCAAACACTACACAAGGACTCACCAAATTTTCATTTTCATTCACTCCATAAATACCTCTCTCATAGTCACAGACCAACCCACTTCCATATTTTGCAACCTTTTCTCCTCACTCACAGGATAACACCAAACAACTACAAATACTCTCATTGCAAAGGTACAACCTACCTACCTAAGCTACCTAGACACACACACCTTCTGTCTTTCATTATTATCTTCATGTTAATTAGGAGCTAGCAACCTTAATTAATACCTCGTTGCTCATAGTATGTTCAAATCATCAACCTTAATGACCATTCTTTTCAAGCCTTCTTTGCTTGATCTCCTAATTAATTTCATCCATCCTTGAAGTGACACCAAATATTAAATATTATAAACTTTGGTGTTTTTTGTATTATTTTTTCTAGCTAATTATACTTGATTTTCAGCACAGATGGAGTTTCCAAACGAAGCAATATCAGAAGGGTCTTCTCAGAAGAAAACGGGAAGAGGGAAAATAGAAATCAAGAGGATCGAGAACACAACGAATAGACAAGTTACCTTCTGCAAGAGACGCAACGGTTTGCTCAAGAAGGCTTATGAATTGTCTGTTCTCTGTGATGCTGAAGTTGCCCTTGTTGTCTTCTCTAGCCGTGGCCGTCTCTATGAGTATGCCAACAACAGGTTATTCAATTCCCTTACACACTCTCTCTTTCAATCTCATTTCATATCTTAACAACATAAAATCATATTTAGAAACAAGGGTTTTACAGGCTTATAATAATTAAGACATTTCTGTTTGTTTAATTTTGTGGTATTGTTATTATTATTATTATTACCATTCTTTCTAGCTTGCTCGTTCAAGTAGTTTGTTTAGAAGGGTGCAGATCTGTGTAAGCCATAGAAATAGACGTTATGAGGTGAAACAATGTAAAGTAGCAAGTGTATCAGAATGAGATGAAGAGAAAGCTTTATTTAGGGTTAGAAAGAGTTGCAGGTGAGAGATCTTAGCTTCCTTGTGTTGAGCATTACCAATCCTCTTTCTTTCTCTCTCTTAGATTTTGATTTCTCTCTCCACTTGGCAACCATCAAATCTAAAAAGGGTCTGCTGCACAAAGCTGTCACGCACTCAATGAATAAGAAGCCCTTCCCTTCCCTTCTTGTTTTCTTTTCCATCTTGACTCTTCCTTAATGCTACTTGTTTGTCAACTCAGCAAAATGTATGTAGTGACAATTTTGGAGTTAGCCAGGGTTTCACACTTTTCCATATTTAGTCACACCTCAATCACTTCAATTCGTTTTTACACAACTCGGGAAGATTATAGTTCAATCCTAATATTGAAGAAAAGAGAGTAAATTTATGTCTTGTCATTTTATTATGTAATTTTTTATACAATTTTTTTTGTACTAATACATTTTCTTTTAAGAATGTTATTTATTTCCGTACAATAAGGTTGAAAATTAAGAAGAACCAATCATATCAGATATTAGGGTTATCCACTAATGAGTGGAGTTTCTTTTAAATTTGCATAAGATTTTCCCCAGGATTAACTGTTTATAATTAAGTGCATTTTTAGTATATATGATATTTCAATATTTAAAAAATTTATACCAAAGTTTTCACTATAAACTATTTGTTGACTAAATAAATCAATTTAAACTAATAGTTTGAAGGATGTCCGAATTAGTTCCCCATTTTCTTAATTTTTGCCTTTTATATAATGGACTAACGGAGCAAAGTGTACTGGTTAGGGTTTCCCAGTTCATATGTGTATTATTAATGCCCATAACTCATTGTCTACGGAAGAAATTAATTTATGGGCTCTGGCGCAGGGACTTTGACATATTAACCAACTATTTAGCTATTTTGCTATATAAAAAAATGAATATTTTTAATTAATTAAAAATAAAAGAAGAAGAAAGATAACATATTTAAGCTGTTATTTCATGATAAAAATAAATAAATAATATTAATACTCCTGGAGTTTCGTCAAATTTATACTTATACCTTCCTTTTATAATCTCTACGTTAACTTCTTCAATTATTTAAAAAAAGTATTAAATGACTCTGCAATTTGATTTTTTTCAAGAAAAAAATTGAATGTAACAAAAAAAAAAAAAAGAGAGAAGAGAAGCAAACGTGTAAGAAATTGAGTTTTCTTAAAAATGAACTAATCCAAATACTTACCTAAAAAACACATGATGAATGTTTCTATAGTTTTTCAAGAAGGACATAAGGGTATTATCTTCAATCTTATACAGGCTCTTATATATATATTTTTTTAAAAAATAGTAATTTAAAATCCGAAAGAAGTGATATACTATCAGAGTGTTTAGATATTATTCTCGTTTCTGATTTCTTTACCCTAAGTAGCTAAAAGTAGCAAGATGATATCAGGTTCTAAGAATGGGTAAAGGCAAATCAGTTCTCTCTTTCCCATGTTGTATTTTTATTGCTTTCATCTTTGTGGAATAAAGCTTCTCATTCCCAACGTCAATTCTTTACCTACTCTCTCCAATATATGTTTTGGACGTTTCAATTAAAGGGAAAGTTCAAACTTACACCCACTCATGCCATATCCACCTCTTTCTGCATACCGTATTAATTTTAATTTACTATGGCTATGCCAGTAACCACTAACCAGGTCGTGTTTCAACATTCTTTAGGATTCAAAAGAATTAATGAAAAATTTATATATATAAGTACACTCATTCAACTAGCTTTTTAATTTGTGTCCACTTGGAAAATTTGGAGAGGAGGTATCAGAATTATTTATCCTACTGATCAAATGCTTTATATTTCTATTTTGCATTGTTTGCAGTGTTAGAGGAACCATCGATAGGTACAAGAAAGCATGTGCTGCTTCCACAAATGCTGAATCTGTCTCTGAAGCTAATACACAGGTAAATTTAAAAAAACACCTACTGCCATATCTCATAATATGCTGATAACTTGAGAAGGACAATATTGTATTTATATATGAATAATGTTGTTTTTACAACTGAATAATGCTGATATATATATGTCAACAAATGTTAACACGAATCAAGTTTGAATTTAAGAATGTTTTGTTATTAAGCAATGTAATCTTAGAACCATGTTGAGTTTGGTGGCTTAATTCACATAATCTAGAAAAGGAAAAAGTTTCCCCACTCTTGAAACATCATGTAACATAAAAGAAAGTTTTGAGAGGAGACCAAGAGTTTAGAATTAACTAATTAGTTCAATAATGTACATTATTTTCTTAATTTCTCCTTCATTTGGATATATAAACAAAAGGGGTTATTCAGTTTGTACTTTTATAATAAATAATGTACATTATTTTCTTAATTTCTCCCATGTTCTCTCTTCACTTGAGCTTCATCAAGTTTCTCAGCATAAACTTCAATTATCACGATGAAGAATTATTTGTTTTATCCGATATTCAGTGTTTAGTTAAATTTAATTCTCCTTATCATTGAATTGCAATATTGTAATGCTCCTCCACAAGGTTCTCTAACTACTTGACGCTATTCTTGAATATCAGTTTTATCAGCACGAATCGTCCAAATTAAAAAGACAAATCAGAGACATTCAGAATCTAAACAGGTCAGTATTACTTTCTCTTAAGTTTTTTTTTCAACACACTTTTTCCACTGAATGAAAAACGCAATGGATTTTCTTGATTTTCAGGCACATCCTTGGTGAAGCTCTAAGCTCTCTGAGTCTAAAGGAATTAAAAAACCTCGAGAGTAGATTGGAGAAGGGTTTAAGCAGAGTTAGATCCAGAAAGGTATTATATATAAACTCAGCAATCAGCATAAAGCATCTTAAGCGTCTGAACATGCATTATGCATTTATATGAACAAGCAAGTAGTCAAAAACTAGCAACTAATTAAGATAATTTCGGATAGTATTTTGAAAATATGCGTTATTTATTTTCCTTTGGACTAACGTACACACTTAAATTCTTTCAGCATGAAACATTGTTTGCCGATATCGAGTTCATGCAAAAGCGGGTACTCATTATGTCTTTCAATGCTATTCGTTTCTGTTTTACTTGCTTTATACATATAAGTATCTGAAGAATATATATCATAAAGTTTTACAATATTGAACATGATTGCGTAATTCTTGTACATTTTTATGCATGACATCAGGAAGTCCCAAACCATATTTTCAATATTTTCCAATAATCTTGAAAATTTGTAAAATAGTGTGCTGTCATAAGTGCTTAGTATTATTATCATAATATAATGTTGTATGTCCTCTTATAAATCACATTTAGTAGTATTCATGTCACTCTTTACATTTGTAATTATTATAATATTCCAAGAGTTATTTCAATCTATAAACTTGTGAAGGAATGTATGGGAGAAAATAACAGAAAAAATATAATAATAATAATAATAATAATAATAATAATAATAATAATAATAATAATAATAATAATAATAAAAGAACAATTCACCCCAAATTATGTTTTTCTTATTTTAAGCTTTTTTGCACAATTTTATAGAAAATAAATTTATTGAGTGTTCTTTAGATACCAACATCATTTATGGAATACCGCTAGAATTAATTAAAATTGATCACATTCAGTGTATAAAGTCATCAAATAGGAAATTATAAAGTCTTTAAAATTTATGGCTTATATTTGTATTTAAATCTCTTCTAACATGCACATTATATATACTTACTGAAAAAAATGCAGGAAATGGAGCTGCAAAACCATAACAATTTTCTGCGAGCTAAGGTCTGTTTATTCCTACAAAGGCACAACCATGAATTTCTAATTAAATAGTTGAATGATAAGAATAGTTTGTGGGATGATGCATTGCAGATAGGTGAACATGAGAGAGCACAGGAACGGCAAGCGGATATGATGGGAGGAAGTGTGTGTGAGTCCATAGCTTCAGAATCATATGACAGAAATTTCTTCCCTGCTGCAGTAAATCTCATTGATTCCAATTCCAATCATCAATATTCATGTCAAGACCACACTGCTCTTCAACTTGTGTAAGCACATTCATCTATCTATCCTTTTATTTCATTCATCAATCATCGCCATCAAAAGCTAGCTAGAGGGGAAAGCTAGTGCCTATAGAAATTAACTTCCATTAAATATTTTTCTTAATGTATGTGCATACTGCATAAACATTAAACATCTTAAGCTATAAGATGGAGTTATTCCCTTTTATGTTGTTTTTGCTATACAGTTCAATAGTAATTCTTAAGTGCAGTTTATAGTTCATGATTTCAATTAACATTAACTAACCATTTTGATATGTTTCTGACTTCATTTTTCACCTCTGGATGCAGCTGATAAGCTGGAAAGCCATTTGAAATTATGCCACAGCCGTCCTATATATCGTTACGTGTTTATAGCTAAGTGGTGTGGGAGCCCATACTTGCCTAAGTTTCGTGAACGAGTGCATTTAGAACTTAATTAATTACTCTTCTAAAGTTCTTCCAAGAGAAAGCTAGAACCAGCATTTGTACCAATACATCATATCATATTGTTTATGTATCTTCCGGTATATATAGTTAATTTCTATTCAGTCCTACCATACTGTATTTTGTATGTTTAGTTGGTCATACTATATATTATGAAATGCATGTGTCGATGAGTAAAATTTTTGTGGCCTCCTAATTAATTTTGAAATTAATCATATATAAAAATTTTCTTCCTTTTCTCCTAATTAATTTTGAAATTAATCATATATAAATTTCTCTTCCTTTTCTCCTAATTAATTTTGAAATTACAAAAGAAAAAAGCTAAAATAATTGCAAATATTAGTATGATTATACATCATGAGCGTAAAATAATTTTACATAATTAACTAATTAAAAATTATTATTAATATAATTTTTAAGATAATTATTATAAAAATTTATAAACTTATTGTACACTATAATTTGTAATTGGATAACATATATTATATAACTTATTTTAAATCCGCTAGTTAGGGAAAAGATTCCTTGTTTTGAAGAACTCAAGCTCAACTTCAAATTAAAATTGGACAGCAAGAAGAGGAGGACTAAGATCATCGATGGGTATTTATGATTCTCAAGAATTTGAGGAATACACAAGTATTGGATTTGATTCTTCAAATCGATATCAATGGTTGTGAGTTTTGGCCTAGACATATAGGTACTTTCTTTAGGAATATATCTATAGGCACTAGCTTTCCCTTCATAATAAGTTCTTTGGCTGCATTATATTGATGCCGATTTTCAACGTAAAGTGTATATAAACTCACACGTGAGGGGGAAAAAATTACATACAGCTAGGTCTGTGCATTCCCTTCAGCATACATACAAATTGCATTAATTGGTAATCCCTTACGCAGGTTGTTTCCAAAATCCTTGGCCTCTTGTGGTAGTGACTAAATTAGGAAACATTTGTTAATTGTCCAGGTTGGAGTGACAAGGAAATCTTACCAATTAATTGCCATGGTTCCTTTATCTGCTTTATGAAAAGTTTGTAATTTCTATCATCACAAATTATTTTTAATATTTATACACCAAATTTTCACCACAAATTATATACAAGGAGAGAGATAGAAAAAGAATAGATTAATGCTACAAAGTAAAAGATACATTAGAAATAATAATAATAAAATTTTAATGGTAAAAATTGTTATAAAAACATGTTATATAAATTACATTAACCATTATTTAAAAGTTTGGTGTTGCGGTGCTTTCTAGGAAGTCCTGTTCCGAAAACATAATTATAAGGATTTACACAAGTCAAATTTTATTACTCTTTCTTGAATAAAAAATTACTTACGCATTGAAAACTTAAAACTATTTTTCAGAATTGATGTTACAAAAATTAGTTTTTATTCAAAATAAGTTTTCAAAACTTACTTTAGAAATATTAGTTTTATTTAAATAATAAAATATAATAATTGTTAAGGCATAATTATATTTTTATAATCATGTGATATATATTTACATTTTAAAAAAATTACTTTAAAGGTAAAAAACATTGCTGAATCCAAAATTATTCTAAAGATTTTCATCATATTAAAACATACCTTATTACTAGATACATATTACGAATTTTTTACGGATATAGAATTTTTTTTTTAAAATACCAAAAAGGTATCTGTGCAACTTTATTTACATATCTAATACTATTTACTGTACACACTCAGAATTCGGTTCCTGGGAAACCGAATTCTGAGTAGTTTTAATTTTTTTATCTTTTTTGTGCTCAGAACCAGTTTGGGCGAATCTAGAAAGTGGAATGGCCCGTTCCGGAAGCAGAACGGATCATTTTGCTTGCACACGTAGATTGGTATTTTTGAAAGTAGAACGACCCGTTCTGTTTTCAAAAATATCAGTCTATGTGTGCAAGCAGAACGACCCGTTCTGCTTCCGGAATGCGACGTTCCACTTCTCAGATTCGCCCAAACTGGGCCACAAATAAAAAAAAAATTTAAAACTATTCAGAATTCGGTTTCCGGAAAATCGAATTCTGAGCACAAAAAAAAATAAATTTTGAAGCTCAAAATTCGGTTCCCCGAGAACTGAATTCTGAGTGTGTACAGTAAATGGTACTAGATGTGTAAATAAAGTTGAACAGATACTTTTTGGTAATTTTTTATTAAAAAGATTCTATATCCGTAAAAAATTCTACATATTACTCGTATAATAAATTGAATATAAGTCAGTGTCTTGATTGTATGGGCGCTAAAATTCAATTCAAGTAAGGATCTCGAAGAAGACACTACAAATGCTGTTCTACTAATTAAAAATGCTTTATTTTGAGAAACAAAATAATTTACAAGACTGGTAATATAAGATTATGATGCATATATATGTCTTGATTCTTAAACTGCAGCTACTGCTAGCTTCTCTTCTAACATGGTATTGCATGCAAGTTCTATACCATACTGTGTAAACCGCGTGGGTCTGAGACTGAAGCCAAAACCTTCTTCCCTCTGATCGCATACGGCGTCATTCGTTCTATGATCTCAACATGAATATTGGAGGTACAATAACTCACTATTTGTTTAAATAAACTTTTCTATAGATACTCATAAAAAAAATAAAAAGAAAAACAAATTATAAAGTAATACTAATTTATGCATAAGTTAAAATTTTAAAAATATTATATTAAAATTTTTTTACAAATTAACTTATGCATAAATTAATTTTAATTTATGAATTTTTTTTCTTCTCTTTCATGAAATTTATCTGTTCACATTATAATCCTACATTGCCTAATAAACTTATCGGAGGAATTTACATATCTGCTCCATAAACTTCGAACCTCAGGCAAACCAATTTCGAGCCATGGCTTTGCCGGGCCATTGAAATGAACAACAGCAGCAGCTTCCACTCTCTCTATGCTATTAGTAAGTTCTTCTTCTGATCGATGGCGATAACCCAAATCAGTGACGAGCCATGATGAATCTAAGGGGTGCACTTGACCCTCAAAAGCAATCAAGGCTGGTGGGAGAACTCCAGGATTCCAGAATGCCAGCTCAAACTGCATGTTCTGTGTCAAATGCAGTTAATATCATCATCACAAGACACGAGAAAGTAGAAACTAATAAAAGGCTTTGTGAACGTTTCAAATCAATCGTATTGTTGTTCATCAAGAATAATGAGACGCCCTTAAGAAGGAAAAATGTGAAGTTAGAGCATTATATATCTTGCTAGTTCCATTTTGATGCACGGGGAAACTCTACAAATATAAACACATTTTATACAGTAACATAATTGCCTAACTTCCTTAATTTCGTTATCATGTACTTACAAGTTTCAACCAGTGATGATAAGTCTTAGTAATATCTGACCTCCTCCAAGCTTCAAGATCAAATATATTCACGCCAAAGAGCCATGCACACTTGTCACCATCAAAGTTAGATGATATGATAGGATGTGAGAAGTTCAAGAAGTTAGCGTATTTGTTTCCAGGGCAGCAGCTGTTCCCACACCATGACTTGAATACCGAACCACAGACCTTGCCATTCAGATCTAGTTCCCACAAAGAAGATATGTCGCGCTGTACTACAACATCATCATCCAACAACACTACCTTGTTTAGATCTGGAAACAGCTGTGATGGTCCACAATAATCACATTAAGAAACAATCATGAATTTGTTATTAATAAGATCTTAAGCAAAATTTTAAATTACAAGAAGTTGTAGAAAAATATGGCCACAATTACAATTATATTGCAATCGCAAACACCACAAAAACTTTTATGTTGTGGCTAATACCGTGATCGAAAACCACTTTTTAAAACGTTGATATGAGGATTTGGCTAAACTTAAACAAAAATATGATTTCGAATCTTATAAATAAAAAACATGTTAACAGTAAAAAAGACTTTAATAAAGATGATCAATTAGATTTTTTAACAAAAATTAGTTATTAATGAAGCAAGTCCATACTTCATAACAACATTAAAAAAAATGATCTTAGGGCTAGCTACAAAAAAGAAAAGTCTAATCAATTACCTCAGGGATATAGACGCGGAGATGATTCAGCAAGGAAAGGCTGCTAGGTCTTAAAGCTTCCAAATATCTGTTATGGTCTTTAATATGGTCAAGCTCCTTTTCTTTATAGCTGTTATAGTAGTGTTTCCAAATTAAATCATTTGTTTCCAGCATCTCTTGAACAACAGCGTTCATTTCTTTGGACCAATCATAGTGGTGTAATCCCCTAACTTCAACAACTGCTGAGTCAATAGAGTTTATGGCAAACCAAGTATGCATGGGAGTATAAGTTTTCTTGTCGGTAACAACATGAAAGACTAATCTTCCGGGGTTGGCTGAATTTTCAACAGTAGATGTTACAACAACTGAAGCTGCAAGAACGTTGTCTGTTAGGAGAACAATGTGGTGAAAAGTGGGGTCGACAAGGCGAGACACATATTCAGGAGGAGGTAGACGAGATCGTGCTATGGCATTCACAGCGTATTCTTCAGCTAACTTCAAACAAAGACAATGCAGACTTTGGGGAACACCGTGTGAAGCTAGATGCCAATTTACTGATTCCTGCTTTCTAGCTGATTGCACCTCACGTTCCATCCGTAATAGCTACATATGAACATAAAATGACATGAATGTAAGTACTGTTAAATTGTTAATTTATTTGTTTAGTTTTTACCATTTTTAAACTTTTCTATTTTGAACCACAAGCGTAAACTTAGTGGTACAGATCGAAAGTAATATGCAAGAAGTTCTAGATGTGGCCATTTAAAAAAAAAAAAAAAGCTTTTCTATTTCGAATGTATTTATTAGAATATGATTCCTTTCCTGAAATATAAAACCTATTGAGATCATAAGTAATTATTTGAATGGTAACAATGAAATTAACCTAGCTACATCTTGAATAAATGTCAGACTTTCACTCGTGAAGGAAGGTTAAATTAAAGTTCAATATAAGCTTACATGTAATGTCACTACTAAGACTATTTGTCATGTTACTCTAATAACTTAAAAATTGAATTGTCTAAAATAAACTTGTTTAGTACAGTTTTTAATTCATTTTTATAAGCTATTTTTTCATTAGCTTCTTTATTAATTACTATTTTTTTTTTCATTTATATCTTCATTAAATTAATATAAAAAAATATTTCCTTTTACATTTACATCATTTTATATTTATTAACTAAATTATCAAGTAATTCGATCAAATACTTTTAATTTAATAAACTAATATAATTTCAGTTTTTCAATTTTTTATCTAGTTTAGCTAGCTCACGATTTTATACTAGTTATCCTGTTTTTTATTTCATTCCAATCATTGTAAATTAAGGTTCTCATTTTAAATGAAATGAAAAAAAGAAATTATCCTTAAAAAAAATATATAGTTCAGCTACTAATAAAGTTTTAATTATTATGAGTTAGTTATACCACACACACCATCTTAAGAAGACTTTACTGTTTGCTAACACCAGCAGGATGCAAATAAAACAATTATGAGGGAACTTAACAAATTAAATGAAATTATTAGATGAGAAATTTTAATGGAATAATTCAATTTTTTTAATTTTTTTTTTAATTTTTTGAGATGAAATATTTTGATTGGATAAAAAATATACAAAAAAATTTAAAATTTAAGCATTTATAAAAAAAAATTAATTGCATAATTTCAATTTTTTTCAAAAATGTAAAAATTTGAAATTCATTATTTTTTTTTCTCTTACCTCCTCTTTTCTTTTAAAGTTCACATAAAAAATATTAATTTTTTCTTTTTATTACTGAATATTCAAAATTATTTTTAAATATTAAAATTATTAAATATTTAAAAGTTAGTTAATATTTAATTTTATAAAACTTAATCTTAAAATTTTATTATAATATATTGTTTAAAATCAATTTTACTTATCGTAGAAATCAAATTATCATATCTAAACTAAAAATTTAAAATTGACTTAACCAAACAAAATATTTTAAAAATGATGAAATCAAAGTAATTCAAATTAGGGATGACAACTAAACTCATACCCGTGGGTTCCTAATTTTGAGAGGAAATACTCAGTTGTATGTATATGTATATTTAAAATTAATTTTACTCATTGTGAAAGTCAAATTATCTTACTCAAATTAATAATTTAAATTTTACTCATTGGATTCACCCCCCAGTGGATTCAGTGGCTCTGAATGTGGATGGGAGTAGGATTGGCACGCCTGGTAGAGGGGGCTTTGGTGACTTGTGTCAGAACCATGAAGGGTAGTTCCTTTTTGGCTTTTATGACTTTTTGGGAGAGGCTTCTGTTCTTTAAACAGAGATCTTAGCTCTTCTCCACGGCCTTCGTCTTTGTTGGAATAAAGGGTTTCGAAAGATTGTTTGTTATTCAGACTCTACTTTGGTGATATCTCTCTTACAGGGACCTATTCCAATGTTTCATCGCTACGGAAATCAGCTCATGGAGATTCATCAGTTGCTCAATTGTGACTGGACTTGCACTGTTATTCACACTTTAGGTGAGGGTAATAGTTACACATATGCTCTAACTCGAATGGGAGCTTTAGAAAATGATAAGCTAGTTATTTTACAAGAGCATCCTATGACTCTTTCTAGTTTGTTACTAGCTGACTCTTTGGAGACTATGTTTCAGAGAGACTAAGGGGGGTGTATTGGATTAGGATTTTAAAGGACTTTTTTAGTGAAAAAAAATCTTGCGGATTTTAAAAGACTTTGCAGGATTTTCATGACTTTTAAGATTTTGCAGGATTCTACAAGATTTAAAATCAGGATTTTAATGGATTCTACAAGACTTTTAAATCAGGATTTTAATGGATTCTGTGGGATTTTGTGGAGTTTTGACATTTGATAAGATTTTAAAAAAATTCATACATTCAAATTTAAAAAGAGTCAAAGATAAAATAATTAAAAAAAAACAATAATGTCTAGATAAATAATAATAATAATTCTCCATAATATTCTATCATCTTTTTATAGCATCCACTATCAATTATAACAATTCATCGGAATCCTCCTTGGTCTAAGCTTCATAGTTTTCTTTCTCTTTTCCTTTTTCTTTATTATTTTCATGTGAATCTCCCATTTGAATTACTAAAATAATATATGTTGAAAACCAGTTATATAAATAATTATGGATAAGAGACAAAATCAATAAAATTATATTATTATTTTTAGAAGCACACCAATTATACAAGATCGAATATATCTTGGCTATCCAAATGGATCAAATATCTCAATCATTATAAAAAAAATGTAAAAACGAAAATATAGAAACAAAAGATAATTTTTTATATAAAAAAAATTAGTATATTCGATACTGAGAAAATATTTAGATATATAATCTTTTTATATAAATGGGAGTATTTAGATATAGAGAATATATATATATATATATATATATATTTATTT